AGAGACACGCTGCAGCTATATTATTAGTTTAGCATGAATGGATCGGCTCGACCGGTGAAGGACCACGCTCTCACAGAATACTAGCGTAAAATAGCTGCTTAATACTGCTGTGTTTCTTATGGTGAGTGTAGAGATCTGAAGACCTTTTTTTACTGGAAACGAGGCATTCCATTTTAGTTCTCAGGGGTGGCAACGCATCTACGTTTTTATTCTTAATCGAGGATAAATGTAGATGTTTCTGGGCAACAGCAACCACTTATCATGGACTGGTGGACTTTGTGCTCGTTTCTCACCCTTATTCTATACAAGAAAAGCTATCTGCTAATATTATTTTTGAATCACGGCAGGTGGGATCGAAGCCTCACCAAAGTCAATGTTTCCGGACTTACAAATTATTTGTTTTAGGTTTGGATGCCCTGCACTTATATTGATTTCCTGTATTGTATAAAATTTTTATAGGATTAGGAAATATGATTGTGCAGATAATAACTAAAGTTGTTTATACAAGTAAGGTCACCCACAAACGAACACACAGCCCACCTGATGGTAAGCGGATGGATGCCTAGGTTTATATACACCTACGTATATCATCGACGAGGAATCAAAATGCAGATTTGTTGTCACTCCTAAAATCTGAGGGAATCCCTTGTTATATACGAAACACAGCAATATTTTAATGCCTTTTATGCTAGTTATTCGAAAGTTCACCCTCTCCGATCGAGCCGACGTATTGGTGCTGCAGTCATAAAAACGTAAATAATAATTTCTGTTAATTTTAAGAGTACTAACAAAATGGGTGTATTTACCTGAGTAGTGAACAAATAAATAAAATAAAAATTAACGGCGGTTGCGCAGCTCTACTAAAAAAGTTAAATTTGAAATGAAACAGTTTCAGAGAATTTTCTAAAGGGCGATTTTATATATGATATATGATTTTGTATATACTGTCTGCTCCCTGTGACTTCATCTGCGTCGTAATTGTTACGACTGGATATCATGGGTTTTAATATTTTTGCGCGGAACTATCTTATACCAGAGTAAAATTAGCTTATGTTACTCATTATAACATCAACTATCTACCAGTGAAAGTCCCGTCAAAATCAGTCAAGTCATGTTGGAAATTAGCCGGAACAAACAGACAAAAATATTTAGTAAATTGTTTTTTTTTTTGGTATAAGTCTCGTATTAGCTTTCATATGCATTTTGTATAAAACTTTTATTTTTACACTACAAACGGACACTTCCATTTTATTCATTTGTCCAAATAAAGTAACCGTTTCTAATATAAGAATTTGAGAATATATGATATATATGAAAGTTTGCAGCAAGCTTTCAGATTTTTAAAAGCTATTGGACTTTTACATATCTTGAATTTTAGTCAACTTGATTGATACTCTCATCGTAAATCAAGTGCAAAGAAGTGTAGAAAGCAGGCAACATAATAATTATTTTACAATTATTGTACGAGTAAACGACCCAGCGTAGATAGCGTAGCTAGCGCAGCGTAGATAGCAGCGTAGATATATAGCTCGTAGATAGATAGCGAGAGAACTATTATTGTACCATTACCGTAACAGGCTATCAAAAGTCCTCGGTTGAACTTAGGCCTCTCGCATAGATTGCCTCACTGGAGGGGATATTTTCAATAACTGCCACGCTTGACCGCACGGGTTGGAAACCGGAGTTTTAATTTTAATTTTTAGTTCTTAATAGAAAATCTGTCGCCTCTTACGACAGCCGTAGGATAATATAGGTAGTGGATATTCTTATGCCGCCTTTATACGGTCGTTGCTTGTAACTCTACGACCACTTTCACTTTATTTTCAATTTCCCTCTCTTTTTGCAGGATGAAATGCCTTCGCATACCAGTTGGATTAAAGACAGTTTATTTGTCGTATTTGCTTAGAAAACCAAGTAGAAATTTAAAGTAAGCAAGTGTCGGTGTAAGAACATCCACTATCCCATAGTGTCCCGTGAGGGTCATAGGAGATGACGGAGGGAAACTGACATAGGAGATGCACAGCAGCATCTTCCCAACAACAACTCAACGTTATTAAAGCACACTTAAAACAAAAAAATCATTGTAACCTTTATTCAGCAGTGGACTTATATAGGTTGCAATGGAATGGGAAACGAATATTTTTATTGACAATTTCAAATGGTGCTTTTAGAAAATTAAAATTCTAACGACGGCATTCCCACTAATATCTCACCTTAGTTATACCGTTACCGTTACAGCCTGTTACAGTCCACTGCTGGACACAGGCGCATCCCTTAGATTACCTCTCAGGCATATTTGCCATAGTTGCCACGCTTGAAATCGGGTTGGCAATCGCTTTTTATTTTAGTCTTTATAAAGAAAATGCTGCTTCCCATATCCTGATTTGTTTCCCTCTGTCGTCTGATGCGACTAAAGTTGTAACTTTTTATATTACTATAAGCAAAATAATAGCGACAAAAATAAAACTAATAAATACACAACGTCTGTTTTATTGATCCATAATTATTTACAAAATTTTTTTATTGGATCGTATCCATAAATGACAATATGTACAGCAGATACATCGTAACTTCATTTTACACAAAAGAAAATTTACAGCTTACTTCATAATATTTATGAATAAATATATATTATTTGTTACATTTGTTAGTCTGTTATTATGTTCAAAGCGTTGTTTTATAACAATTAAACAAATGTTGATAGAGCGCACGATGCGAAAAGCTATATTACAATTTTTTCACCAAGGATCGCGGAATAAGGGTGAGTGGATTCTTAACTTAGATATAAGATTACATAATATTGTCAGTTCATATTGAACTGTTTTGAGTAAATTAATGAAAAAAAAATGTGTCACCCTGTTAATATGGGGATTATATCTTCTTCAAATGATGAAAGATATTCTTACGGCTTTGTACAGATTATACGTATATCGTTGATTATTTTTTCATATAAACATACATAATGTAGAGACAGCAAATAGTTTTGTTTTGTAAATATTTAATTTAACTAAAATAATTTATTAATTAGTCACAAAAATTATAATTTAAAAACCATGTTCTATTTGGTGACATGCGATTGTTTTATAAATACACAATATGTTCGCGACGGCCTAACAACGTTAAGAAACAAAGTTATAAAGAATATTGTTTTTTGTATTAATAATGAAATTACTGACAAAACGGTGAAAACGTGTATTAATATAGTTGTTTAGCATATTTATAACTCTTAGTATATTTGTATAGAATGTCGTTTTGATAACAAGTAATGTAAACAACTTTTATTATATTAAGAAAAATCGACCAATCACAGCGCGTCTTATCGTAGAACTCTCTAGAAGTTTTTTAATTAACTGCGTAATAGTTCATACTAAAAATAATGAAAATAATTTTATGTTCTAAAAGAGTTATAAATATGACATTGAATTAGCATATGGCTTATAGATTACAGAAGTGTAGGAATATTTTGTATAATTAAACGCATTTGATAGTTATATAAAAAATTAAAGAATTAATGTACCCAATTATTATGAAAATTTGGGACATTTCGTTTAATAACTTTTTACAATGTTAATGTTTTAAGGAACCTTTATGATATACTAATAAAGTACCAGACTACCGATTTAATGATGTATAGCATGTTAGTGTAGCAATTAGTTTTGTAAAGAGAATATTGCAATTTATGCCATTTGTATAGTGAAAAGTTTATGCAATAAAGAGGCAAAACGGAAAATGGCAAGCGGCTCACTGTAAAGTATTGATAAAGTCTACCTTAGGGGCTCGCGACCCAGTAGGAGTAGTAGTGTGATTGTGAAGAACTACCAGTGACAAGTGAAGTGAAGTGAGTGGTATCCGGTGGTAGCTGAAGTGACTAGTAGCAGTATATAGTGAATAGTGAAAGTGTTAGCTAGCCTAAAAAGGTCGTAACTGATATTCGCAGTTACATATAGTGAAAGTGTTAGCTAGCCTAAAAAGGTCGCAATTTATATTCGCAGTTACATATAGTGAAAGTGTTAGCTAGCCGAAAAAGGTCGTAACTGATATTCGCAGTTACATATAGTGAAAGTGGTAACTGATATCCGCAGTTACACAAGTGATAAAATTAGCTAGTTTAGTTGATAATAGCTGCTAGTCAGTAGTGTTAGAAAACCAGCTACTACCAATAGATATTTATACCACCGTACAATTTAAAGAAATCTTTTGAAAAATACAGTGACCAACCAATAGTGAACAACCGTAGTTCAACCGTGGTCAATAGTTATAAAATTTCGCGACTAATTAATCAGTCGAACCGCTAGCCACTGCCTTGCTATTTGTATTTATTAATCGTGCATTTTGATTTGAACCTCAGTCCACAATATTTCAGCGGTAACCACAAAGACGGCAGTGAAAGTACCCACCGGAACCTATAGGTGTAGGACGTGAGCGACTCGCGAAGTATCTTCGACAACATTTACTCCGGAGAGTTTCGCCCGTCCGGCACACAATACAATCATTCAAAAACAATTTAGCAAAAAAGTGACATTTATTACTAAAAACCTTAAAGATATAATCTAATTAAAATATAATGATTTCTTATATTTACGCGAACACTATACATGATTAAAACTTAACGTCGGGAATTAAAAATAAAAGTAAGTAAAAAGTAAATATAAATGCGATAAAATCCGTAAAAGTAGTTTTAATCATAATTAAAATATTTTATGTATTACCTAATTCGAACACTTTTGTGTCTATTTAAAAATTATCAACTTTAGGCCAAAAATTGCAATTTTTTTTCTACTTTACCAACATAACATCGTATAAAATATAGAGGATGATATTTACAATTTTATCTATATTTAATTTCAAGCGACGAAAAATATTCTGAAATATAAAAATTCATATCATAGAGATGTACATTTAAATGACTATAATATTTGTAAAACACCAAAACTTTTACACAAAAAGCCAATTTTAAAATTGTGTTATTTCACTAAAGTTCTCTGCAATTGTTTTCTGTTTTAAGATACGACTTTGGACAACATGACTAGACGTATAGCTGGAACACTTGGAATTTCACCCGGTGCGTAGATATTCAGTGTGATGCCTGTAACGAAATATGTATTATTTTTATTTTGTGACATTAACTTTTACATTCACATTTGGGATATTAACAGAATACCAGCGTGAAATGGCTGCTGTGTTTCGAATGGGGAGTAAGGATAATCGCAGGTCCTTTTTACTGCATACAAAGCATTCAGTATTTTGTCTTTTGTTTTTCTTCAGTATTTTTTCCATACCTTTGAATGGACGACATCGCAAAAAGCAAAAAAAAGAACGATTTAATACGGTATAACAACTTTTCTTACCTTAAACAATTTTCTATAATGTTTTCATTTGACTGCCAGTAATGACTGAGCATTCATCTGAGATTTCGTGAACGCACTACACGGCAAACGTCCCGATACCATCCACACCATCTGGATGCTTGGCGGTCCACCACTGTACGTTTCACAAGGAGTTTTCTTCCACGTACAACCTCTCTGTGGAATAGTTTACCACCGGCGATTTTTCCGGACTGGTAGGACCTGGGGACCTTCAAGAAAAGAGCAACGCACCTGCAATTCTCCTGGTGTTGCGGTTGATCATGGGCGGCGGTAGTCACTTAACATCAGGTGAGCCGCATGCTCGTTTGCCCCTTCTTCTATAAAAAAAGCTAAAGCTGGTAGCAAAACCAGTGCTTTAACTATGCACGTGCTTGCTCCTGAAAATTAAACAAATATATAAAAAAAACTATTTAACATCAAGATAGAATAATCATAAGTTCTAGTTTAACTCGTTAGTTTACAAACTTTTCTAAGCAACTGTAACTACAAAGGTTACAATAACTACGTTATTTTTTACGTGGTAGAGCCACGCTTCAGTTTTATTATAGTTGTAGCACAAAATGGTCCGTCCTAGGAAGAAACATGCTCCCACAGTATACCAGCGTAAAATAGTAGAATAATGCAAATATGTATTTCATGGTCAGTTTTGAGAACAATAGACCGTTTTTACTGGAAAAGAGGCATTCCATCTGTGTTCTTTCTTGGTGACAACGCATATGCATTTTGAATCTTAATCGATGTATCAGGAGAATCAGGAGGTCTTTATGTTTTTTTTAACCTCTACTCCATAAAAAATGTTGAAAGATCTCAATCTCGCTAATGTCTACTTCAGAAAATTATTATTATACCTATTTCTTCTTTATAGGTTATAGAGTATAGACTTAGTTAGATAATAAAAAAATAAATGTAGTGATGAAAATGTAAAAAGTAAGAGCGAACACGTTTATAGATAAATTTGTCTAACTAGGCCCGTGTCTTTCTAATTTCTGAGAATGTTCATTCTAGGTGGTATAATTGCTTTCCTTCCTAAGATTCCTCCCTTTCTGCCGTTAAACAGCACTACGTACTTAATAGCGTGCGGGATGTATCGGGCCGGTATACACGCTATTGAGCATTCTGTCTTAGTAGCGAGATGCCATATCTGTAGACTGCTTTTCTTAAAGTTCGTTGCATGTGTCCATTGGCAGTAATAGCCATTTACCATCAGATGGATTGTAAAACCATTTGTTACTTCAATTTTATAATAAAAAAATAAAATTTTATAAAATTATACAAAACCCATTGCTCGGTTCTGGTGGGAATGGTTTAAAAAACCAGCATGGCTGCAGGCTGCAAGGCATTTTGTCTTAGCCTTCGGGGGTAGCAAAGCATCTGTGGTCTTTTTACTTAGAGTAATTGCAGGTGTCAATGGGATGGCCAAGCCACATAAAATAAAATGGACTGCTAATTCGTATGTTGCTCATATTCAATCATTACATTAAATCCACTTCTGAATAAAGACCTTCCCCGTGGATTGCATGATGGAGGGGGCGCGGGGATATTTATCATAGTTACCACACTTTGCAGGCGGGCTATCAGCCGCAGTTTTTATTTATTAGGCTTTACCGGTAAGATGCGGCTTCCTATTTTATTTCCCTCAGACACCTGTAACGACATGCTCGGGGTGATATGGGCTAGTGGATTCACGTACGCCTCCACTAATCTAAATAATTTATAAACTAAATTTGTGAAAGGTATAGTGGAGACGTTAGTTACAAACGATATAAAATAAAACAAAATCAATAATGTATGAAATAAAAACAATTTAAAAATCTATCTACCAATAGGCACTGCAATCGTTTATTTTTTCAGTTAATAAAAGGTTGTTAAACACTGGACACAACGACCAGTACCGCCCTTGACATCAATAGACATAGATGCTTTAGTACTAAATGAAAATAAAGATATGTAAGTGAAAAAGAAAGTTAAGGGGCCTGAAAAGTTGTATTTATAAATTGAAGTTGAAAAGTTGAGTCTAACACACTAAAACTTAAATTCTCACTTTCGATACTTATTATTTTACATCTGGAAGTATCAATCAAGATCAAGACAGTTATTTAAAAAAAAATCTGAAAAATAACTACTACTAAAAGTTTAGAATTGTTGAATTTCCACCGGCAGAAAACACTAAAAAGTACAAAAAAAATTGTATTATTAGCAGCCGAGCCAGTAATGTTGTGTGACCCGCCGTAAGCACCAACTATGGTAAAATTAACATAACTTTTGGCGAGCACAGTTATACAATCAACTTCGAAAGAGTGTGACAGAATTTATTTTAATATATTTAAGTATTATGATGAAACTACGAATTTAAAATTAACTTGGACCACCGCCTTAGTGTTAGGGAGGAACTGTGATTGTTGCACTTGAAATTATATATTTTATTATAATTTTAATACATATATTATTATTCTCATGTAAAGTGATGTGATGGCCCAATATTATTATTAATAATTAAATTCAATATAAGGGGCATCAAAAATAGTCTTAAAATTATATATATATATATATATATATATATATATATATATATATATCAAGCAATAAAATTACATTAATAAGCATAAAGTTAATATAAATACATTTCAGATATTAGACCAATAACATAGTAAATTAAAGGCAAAATATTGTCTTTCATAATAAATAAATTTATTATGAAAACTTGTAAAAATATTTAAAATATGATAAATAATAGAAATACAAGTCGAAAATATTATAAAAATAAAGATAAATATCATTTATAAGATAATTAGAAAATTTGTTAAAAATTGTCATGGAAGGAGTTCATGTGCAAAAGAAAATTTTCCTAAGTTGTGGAAGGTGTTCATGTATAGATGTCTTGTATGGAGGAGCTGCGGGAGATACATATCTGCAGTTGTACATATATGTATATGGGGTGGTCGGGAGCCCGACTGCTTGAAGTACTGTAGCACAATGACTAGTCCTATATTAGGGACTTATCATAACAAACTCAATGATACAAAAGCATTACTATAGAAGGTCTCTATGATGAAATAGCATTACAATAGTAGAATCGTAGGCTGAAGTCCTCCATATTAATGACTTATGAAAGTAAGGTCTATGATACAAAAGCATTATTATAGAAGGTCTCCTTGATGCATAAGCATTATATGGGGTGGTCGTTGACCGACTGCTCTTAGTACTGTAGCAAAATGACTAGCCCTTATTAGGGACTTGAAAAAGGATTATTATGGTGGCGTGTATGCTGCTTCACGAGCAATTGGTCCGAGGTAAACTTGGGCTCGCTAACCGATGTGTCCTAGACATATCATCTTACTGCCGGTAGTAAGAGGGTTTGTTGTAGCAATACGGCTTTGCCGTGGACATCGCACACCCATACCGTTTGTGGGCGACGTCGTAACGCATAGCGGTGTGTCGTCTATCTTTCGGATTGGGATGAGTGTGTTTGGTAGCACTTTTAAGTGTAACCAGCATACTGAACTTCATGTCTTAGTGCATTAGCGCTATGATACGTGGAGTTTTGTCCACTGGTGTCTTAGTAGCGTGCTACTATGATACGTGGTGCAGTTTTTAGTTAACAACATATTAGTGCCGGTGGTAAGCGGTTTTTGTAGCAATACGGCTTTGCCGTGGACATCGCACACCCATACCGTTTGTGGGCGACGTCGTAACGCATAGCGATGTGTCGTCTATCTTTCGGATTGGGATGAGTGTGTTTGGTAGCACTTTTAAGTGTAACCAGCATACTGAACTTCATGTCTTAGTGCATTAGCGCTATGATACGTGGAGTTTTGCACACACTGGTGTCTTAGTAGCGTGCTACTATGATACGTGGTGCAATTTTTAGTTAACAACATAGTGCCGGCGGTAAGCGGGTTTTTGTACGAGTAGCAATACGGCTTTCCCGTGGACATCGCACACCCATACCGATTGTGGGCGACGTCGTAGCGCATAGCGATGCGTCGTCTATCTTTCGGATTGGGATGATGAGTGTGTTTGGTAGCACTTTTAAGTGTAACAGGCATACTCAACTTCATGTCTTAGTGCATTAGCGCTATGATATGTGGAGTTTTGTCTACTGGTGTCTTAGTAGCGTGCTACTATGATACGTGGTGCAGTTTTTAGTTAACAACATATTAGTGCCGGTGGTAAGCGGGTTTTTTGTAGCAATACGGCTTTCCCGTGGACATCGCACACCCTTACCGTTTGTGGGCGACGTCGTAGCGCATAGCGATGCGTCGTCTATCTTTCGGATTGGGATGTGTGTGTTTGGTAGCACTTTTAAGTGTAACAGGCATACTCAACTTCATGTCTTAGTGCATTAGCGCTATGATACGTGGAGTTTCGTTCATTGGCGTCTTAGTAGCGTGCTACTATGATACGTTGGTGATATTTTTAGTTAATAACAATACAAACTTTGTTACCAAAGTCGATAGGGATCATGTAGGTGTGTTGTGAGGGGGCGCCATCCGTATGATAGTTGCATTGATGCTTACTGCTTCTTGCGGTATTGCGTCTTGTGATGGATCTGCGGGTGTGCTGCGCCTGATTCAACGCATTCTTGTGGTTCTGGTCGATGGAGATATGCGGGTGGTGATGTCTGCTGGGATGTATGGGGGACCTTGGGATGGTGTAAGCCCGACGATAGTCGTATTGATGCTTGTTGCGTTCTGCAGCATTGCGTCTCTGCGATGGTTGTTTGGTGGGACGCTATTCTCAATGGCGATCTCTGCGTCTTGCTTTGCCTCACACCTAAGTAGCTTTGCCCAAGTCGGGTCCCTTCATTACGGGGCTGCAAACTGTCTGCCCTCCACGATGTTTTATATAACAACATAATTATATATCTCTGTAACTTTCCCACATTTGAATGATTGAAGGCAACTTGTTGGTGGGTGAGGCAAACATGGAGGGTTTACGGCCAGCGTGCCTATTTGCCTAAACCGTGTGACGTACATTCACTGTGGCTGGATTCGTTCGTATTCTGTATGGCGTTTACACGCATTGACATGCGCGACTTCGGTCGATGTTTTTGCTTACGCACTAATAAGGGGCCAAGCCTCTTTTACTGGTTCGCCAGTTATTTTACTGTGGACTACGGTCCAATTCCCGAATTAACGTTCCCTTCGGTGGGAGTGCATCAATATGGTTGGCGATCACCGCGCACGGCGTGTGTGGAGCCGTGTGCCTCTCCTACATTTTTTTTTAAAATAAATGTAGGAGAGCGAAGCCCTTGTGTCAGGTATTTTGTATAAAAATATTGTGAGCCTTTTCCAAGCGGGAAGGAATAATTAATAAGAAATTAATAATGCAAACCTGATACAAGTGGAATAGGGACGTTTTATGTTCTTAACCTTTCTCGAGCCCTGTCTTCGTGAACGGGGTTCACTTAGCTTATAAGAGGCACTAGCAATAGCTTTCAATTGCTCTAGTAAATATTCATTCTTCCAAAAGACACCTAAAAGAACTAAGTTACTAAACAAACACAGCGTTATAAGGTCCTAACTAAGACGATCACGCTAAAAATATTACAAACGGCCTATTATTAAACATTTAGAAAGATCATTTAGAAAGATCAAAACGTATTTTATTTATCCTGGTCACAAATATATAATTTTATTGAAAATCGTTAAATTAATAATATATTATATATTTAATATCATACATATTTATTATTATGAGAGGGGGGGGAACGTTACAGTGGCAATTGTCATAATTAAAATAAGTTATTTAAACTGAAGTCAGTCGGTCGATGACCATGGGCTGTAGTTCCAGTTAGGTACCATTATGTTGTGAACTGTAAGTTCGAACCACATAAGCTGTAGGGTTAGGTCTCACTGAAGAGCGTTCGGCGGGGCGGAATGTTCACCATGAAAGGTCTCACTGAAGAGCGTTCGGCGCGGCGGAATGTTCACCATGAAAGGTCTCACTGAAGAGCGTTCGGCGGGGCGGAATGTTCACCATGAAAGGTCTCACTGAAGAGCGTTCGGCGCAGCGGAATGTTCACCATGAAAGGTCTCACTGAAGAGCGTTCGGCGCGGCGGAATGTTCACCATGAAAAGTCTCACTCACGCACGCACACACACGCGCACGCTCTTATATTAAAGGCCTTAGTTTACGTTTATCCATATAGAAGATTTCTCACCTTTAGAGCCAATAGCCGCAGCGAGTTGCATGTCCGCCGCGGTTGGCATTTCAGGTGTTGTGCTAATGGGCCCTAGTGAAAAAAACACATGTTTATAAAATGAAGAAATTGTAAAGGATAATGTTGGTTTTACTGTACTGCAATTTCTTTCTTTTGTGTTTTTATAAAGGTTATTACTTATAAAGGTTCATAACAAAGCCGACGTAGCTCACAGACTACGCACTCACTCAAAATATTACATTAATCGAGCAATCGAGTTTGATCCTCACCAACACCAATAAAAATGTAATTGCAGTTTAAAGAGCTCTTTAACACGTGCTCGGAGATAAAGGAAAACATCGTGAATAAACCTAGAAAAAATATTTTTTTAAAGGATAGGGTGACAAACGAGCAAATAGTTCACCTGATGATAAGTGGTTGCTGCGGCCCATAGACATCTACATTTATCCTCGCATACAAATCAAAATGCAGATGCGTTGTCACGAATGCCTCGTTTCCAGTAAAAAGGGTCTCTATTTCTCTACACTCACCATACGAGACACAGTAGCATACAGCTACTATTTTACGCTGGTATTCTGTGAGAGCGTGGTTCTTCCCCGGTCGAGCCGACCCATTCGTGCTAAAACTATACTACTAATAAACCTGCAGCATGGCTCTACCACGTTTAAACTAATTAATTAATTTGTAATATATCTAAGAAATTGTGTAAAGTCTTACAACGGGCGTGAAGGTGCACCATTGCTCCATAATCCTCATAGAAGTAGGAGCAACGAGACGTACAAAGTAAGTGAAAGCATTCATTATCTTTACAACATCTGGAATTTGGAAATGACAAAGTAATTAGTTACTTAATAATAAATTAACTATAGGCTTTGCAGAAACTAATATATTTAAGTTTCTGAAAAGCATATAGTATCAGCTATTTTAGTTAAATTTTATTTGGACCTGAGAATAACTTCGTTAAACTTTCTTTGAAATATGACATCTTTTTAATATTTAACATACATTTGCAATCATTACAGCTGTTTGTTTAACACGATTCATAAATAGAATTTCATAAAGAGTCTCATAAATGGTAAGAGGATGCTTACAAAGGACTATTTTAATTTTTTAAGACTAGATGCAGTCGCTTTGAAAAGTGTTACCCTTATCCACTAATTTTCTATTAGAGAAATTTTTCCCGCATAAAATGAAATAAACGGCGCAAAAAATTATTCACAGCAAATGCTGTGTAAAATATTTTATCTCTCCCAAAAATTTAGATAGCTTATGTACGATAAGAACGACCCTTCGAAACGAACCTTCCGTCGGTAAAAAGCTAAAAGGCCTTCGCAAATTAAAAGATGTAATTTGATTTATAAAATGTTTAAATGGCTTGTTTTAAATAAATAATAGCTTTATGTTCATGTCGTTGCATTTTGTTCAGCCAGCGCTCCAAAACTTCCATGTCATATTAAAAGAACACACGATAATGTAAGCAAGGTTTTTTTTTGCGCCCGAAGCAAATATGGGTAACTCTCCGGAAAGCGGGGGAGGGAGGCGGTGAATGTTCATAGCATACCACGCAACCGGCTGCGTGGTTATGTGGAGACTTTTACCCACTAAACACCGCCTTTTAGGGACTGGCTTAACGATCTAACTAGAGATCTCTACGCCGTATACGAACGCGACCCTCCTTGGCAGAAAGGACGGCGCAGTAGAAAGGAGGGCGCAAGTATAGGGCGTAAGCAAGGTCTCCGAGACTGTTTGCTTTATTGAATCGTATTTAATTAAATGTATCTTAAGCTTTAAATAAACGAAAAATTATATTTATGTACGTATTAAAAAGAGATATATTTAATAAAGACAATTTTATGTAATTAGTGTTATAATACTAGACAAAGAGTTAAAACCAAATATTTGTATTAGATTTATAAGTAGTACGTGTCACAAGCACGTGGAGTGGTTAAACATTTAATAATTATAAATTTAATATTATTAAATGTCTAATAAAAGTTGATAAATTGTTTACGGTTGTAATGTTTAACTACTCATATATTTAAAATATATGCTTAAGTCAAAAAAAGTTGCTAATTATTACAGTAAATATATAATATCAATAAAGACTTATTAAATGAGCAATAATGTAGCAAAAAAGCGAACATTTTCAAAAAAGAAATAAATACATTCACTATAGAATATTAATTTATTCCTCTCTGTACATTAACGGCTCTATAACACGTGCTACTATAGTCTACATATATATTTTTAAAAGCTTAGTTAATTTTTATTTTCAATTTATTCTTTTAAAACCTCAGTGATGCTAAAAAATTACTTTGTGTCAGTTGCTGAGCTAACGATTTCAAAAATAAAGATTTGAAATTTTTTATATGATCATTTAGCAAACTTACCTTATTTTTTTACAGGGACAAAATGTAAGATATTAATAAATGATTTGATTTACAGAAACAAGATGCTTCTTCTTTATATATTAATTCTAATTTACTTATTGTAACTTTTATTTATTTATTTATTATTTTATGGATTAGTTTTGTTTTGTATTCGACACACCATATGCACGATTATATTTTTTATTAAATATTTTTTTCACTTATCAATTTTAAATTACGGTTGATTAGACGTTTTACTAAACGATTATATGAAGGATTTGACGAAACGGGGTACTAACTGAAAACACGTTGTGTTTAAAAACGCGATAAACTGCCTAGTTGAGAATATTTTAATGACATGACTCGGGTCAGAGCTATTATTTTATATGTACAGTCATTTGTTCATTTGTTATTTTTTATCTCTTTATCTTTGTGATGAATTTATAAATAAACTATTTTTTATTTCTATTCGGTTTGTACTTCTACGATTAGTACTTTTGCCAGGGTCTAGCCGAAAATTCTTTACAATATAATTTATAGAGTCAGGTGTTACTTTGCGGAACTCCAATAAATTGAAGTTATTAGAACTTAATTCACTTATTTCCGCGTATTGAAATACAATGATGCGTCCTGTTTAGTATGAGGAGCACCAGTAATCCCAGCACCACCATTACCCAGCACCACCATTACCCAGCACCACCACTCCCAGCACCACCATTCTCAGCACCACCATACTAGGAATGACACCACCCTCGATAATACGACACGTGTTTCACCTCTACACCAGGTGAAGTAGACTATGCGGTGGCTGACCGCTAAGAACTTCTTTACAATATGTTGATGTTGCACATTGCAAAGTTTTTGGGAAGTTTTAACGAAAGTAATAATGTCCTCCAGACACAGTTTCGGTCACGGCGTTCCTGACTCAACGGAGACTAACCATCGGCGCAGGACAGGATTATAGTGCCCAAGTGTATGTGCAAGCACAGGTGCACTCTCTATTCCCTCACTCCCATTGCCCGAGGGGACGGTAAATCGACACGACCGGAGAGAGGTCAGGCGCAGGACCAACGACTTTAAGTGCTTTCTGAGGCACGGGGATGAGACACAGCCAACTTCCTGACCCCGGCCAGCTACTGAGAATTTCTTGACGGAAAAACTCAAAAATTAATTTTTTGGCCCGACCCGGGATTTGAACCTAAAACCTCACGATCAGCAGTCGCAGTACTGCAACCACTAGACAATGGAAGCAGTACACGAAATTAGACCGTCGATGACGGTAGTATATCAAGGCGGGGACTCAATTGATTCATCATCTTTTCTTTTTTATTTGCCGTAAATTTACTGCTAGACATAGAGTTCCCTCGTTGTAAGGAGGATTTGTCTTAATCATAAGACTTTTCTAGCATTTCCCGTAGTTACTCTCTTACAACGGCACGGTACGGATATGGAGTGATCTGTTACGGCGTGGACTTCCCGGCGAATTCATAGTTTCATGTAATAGATGCCATTCCAGATATTTGTACACAAAATGACACCACTCTTACGCATAAAAATTTACTTCAAGCCACAACAACAGAAAACATGTGAAGAACTATTTAGTAGCTTGTTCAGGTTATTTAGTTTAGATTACCTAAGCACAACACATAAGAAGCTAATTTTGTATATTAAGGCTTTATGTGTTATCATCATCTATATAATATAATTAAATAAAGTGCCATATCCTAGATTCTCAAGTCTCAGTTGTCAGTTTAATTAAGGCAGGTTTAGTTGATATAAGCTATATTAAATTTTATATAAATTGAGATAAATTGGTTTGTTGGATATACTCGATTGAAACCTCAAAAAAATCTGGTTCCAATAAAGTCCTTAATATTTAACCCGACCGCTTAAGCGACATAAATAGGTAAGAGGGTCCAGACAGGTTACTAGGCAGTAAACAAACTGTTTCTAGAAACCGTTTCTTCGTCGGATTTCTTATAATATATAATTCATTTTATGTATATAATATACTGTAGATGCTACCCATAATGTATAACTGTACAAAAATATAATGAATACTGATCAGTGATTAAATTTTTAATTTATTTAATACCGTCTCCTTGAAATGATAATATTCAAAATAGTTCTGCACAGGGCAGTCTTTTGATACAAACAGACTACTTGACAGCTGCACGGACACCCGCTTCCGTTCACATCGGAAACCATTTTAATGTTCCTCTTCGGATAGTTTGGTGGTATTTGCGAAAGTATTTTCCATCTTCGGCGTAATAAATACATATCATGTTTTCCTATTATAATTGAACAATGCATAGAATTTATAAAATATCTAAAGAATAAAATATCTGGTTGATTAAATATCGAATAATTTTTATTGTATATTATATTTTTATACGTTGTAGAGCCACGCTGCAGCTATATTATGATTGTAGCACGAATGGGTCGGCTCGACCGAGGAAGGACCTCGCTCTCACGGAATACCAGTGTAAAATAGCAGCTTAATGCTGCTGTGTTTCATATAGTGAGTGTAGAGATCCGGAGACCTGACTCTTGAAACGAGGCATTCTATCTTAGTCCCAGGGGCGGCAACGCATCTGTGTTTTGATTCTTAATCGAGAATAAATTAAGATGTCTATAGGCCACAGTATCCACTAACCATCAGGTGGTCTGTGACCTTGTTTGTCATCCTTACTCTATATTATA